CCCCCCTCCATCCTTCTCAAAAGTGCCAAGTTATGGGATTTGCCTGAAGTGTTTTCCAGCTATCATACTGGTGAAACTATGGGGCGGAGACGGTTTAGGGGGTAGGGGGGGCTTCTCCCCCTCAGGGGGCTTGTCCCCTTCAGAGGACTCAATTAAGGACGGAAGATGATTTTTGGCAGGTCGTGGTAATGAGTTAGTCTGGGGGAAAGGAACAAAAATGGAAACAAGTTTTTATATTGATTTTTCTTGTCTAATAATTAGTTTTCATGTTTTGAAAATCAAATACCCCGACGAGTGTACCAATTTCTTAGAAATGAACACTTAAAGTCTTGTGCATGGTTTTTAACATTATTTAATTTTTTGGGGCTTTGAAAAGGCTCCTCATAAGTTTTTTTTTACAATGCAAAATGTAAACAGAAAATAAAGATAGGCCTGATTGATTTGGTATTTAATGCCGTGCCAACATCTTCTGTAATGAGTCATAATTGTCCACACTTCAGTAATTTTTAATCAATTTGCTATCAGAAATTTTCGTTGGTAAATTTTCTTCTAAAAACATTTTGCTCCGAATTGAGTAATAGTTGAAGACGTCTTGATGCTCAAATTAAAAAATTTGAAATTACTACGAAGGGAAAAAAATCAGTTTAAAAAATCTAATTTTCGTGTAATTTTTTTCTGAATTTGTTTTAGAAAACTATTGTAGCATAAATTTCCAAAAAGTAGAAGTACGAATATGGAGTACCTTTAAAAACAGAAAGTTAGGAGAATCTTTTATCAAATGTTTAAAACTGCTTTTTTATAGAAAAGTGCTGATAGGAAACCTTTTCTCATTATGCTTTAATCTTCACTTTACCCTAGGTTACCGACTAGGTTATAAATAAATATCCAATTTACTATAAAGATGTCGTTATGAGCTAGAAACACAGTTGTTAGTAAAATCAAAAATACATTTCTAAATTAAATATTTGTACAATTGACAAAAAGCAAAATCAACCAAGAAAAAAGCTCGTATTAAAATTATCTGAACAATCAGAGATTTTAGTAGGGTTTTATAGAAATTCATATTGCTAAGTAATAATATTTGAATTTATTTTCAACTTTCACATTTTAATAACGTCCAAGAAAAAAGGACAATGAGCAACATGAATTTCCATTTACTGGTTATTCGGTTTTAAACCATCACCAAACCTAATCTAAATAAAGCGATTAAAGCACATTATCACACTGGCCTAATACCTTCTAATGAAATTTTCGGGGTCAGAATTGAAGGATTTTTGGGATCAACCGAAAGATTTTGGGATAAACAAAATTGATCACTGAGGCTGTGATTTTAATAATTTGGGGAAATTAGTCGGAAGGAATGCTCAGCTTTAATTGAGACTATAATAAAACTCGAGCGTTAGGATTTGGACATTTAATTTTTCTTAGAATTAAGTTTAGTCTAATTCAATTCTAGTTCTTACTGAAAACGATAGAGGTGAGACTAAAAGACTCAGACTAGAGACTAAACTTAAAAATGTGTGTCTCTGGACTAAAAAAATATTCCTACTTGTCATCGGAGCCAAAACTATGGGCTCGTCGCACAACACTCTCATCTACACCAGGAGATAGTTTTCCACTTGGACTGCAATACAAACTAATTATTTAAAGGGACTGTAAGCGTAATTTCATGTGATTCCATTGATTGATGACAATGCCCGATTCACAACGGTACCCTTAAAAGTTACACTTGGGAATTATCAAAAATAAACACTATCTTTGTATTTTTGATCAGATAAAGGTTGCAAGGGTACTATTGCGAATCGGACATTGCCATTTTGTAGGGAGGATTATTTGATAAAATGCTTACACTTCCTATTAAAGAGGTAAAAAATATGGCAAGTTTTCCACACTTTTTTTCAAAAGCTCATACCAAAAAATGTCGGTGAAGGGCGCCAGATTAAAGGGAGTGTTCGCTAAAAATGAAATGGGGTATATGCTGACGGCAAAAAATTATCGATGGTTTTCGCTACTAATCTTACCGCTATCTGTTGGGTCTATAAGGAGAAAATTGTTAAAAACGACTCATACCGAATTCAATTCTGGAAGTTGCAATATTAGTAAAAAAAACAAACAATTTAATTCCAAACAAATCATTCAGGTTTTACAACCTATAATCATTAATCATCGATAATATTTCGACTCATTCGTATATAGTTGATATTTCATGATATTTTTATCTTTTATGATCCGAGAGTTCCTTTGAAAGCATTTATTCCTGTTTCGAGAATTTTTGATAATGAGGACGACATTTTCATATTTTCCAGGAATGTTCAAAAATCCAGAGCCAGCCGTGAAAACAAGTTGTAAGCTAAAAAATATTTAAAAATATATATATATATGAAATAATATCTGAATGATTTGTTTTGAATTAAATTGATTTTTTTATAATCCGAGTCGTAAGCTGCAACTTTCTAAATTTGTTTGGACGCTACGTTCTTCGGTATAAGTCGCTTTTAACAAGTTTCTCCTAATAGACTCAACAGAAATAAGATTAGTAGCGATCACCATGGATAATTTTTCGCCGTAAGTCTATACTCCCTTTGTACGAAAGAAAAAAATCGCTAAATTTTTGTTGTTAAAAAATTAAAATTTTTAATTTTCAAAATATTAATCCCTGATGTTACCTGGCAGTGGGCCTAGCTCTGAGAGAGCCTGGTCTTCTCCAAGAAGCAGAATCATCCTTGTTGGATCCTGTAGTGTATAAATATTATTAGTTTTTTTTAAGGTTTCCCCTATATTTTCTTTAAAGGTCAAAATTTTGCATAATGTACGAAAAGCAAATGTTTTGACCCTGACAGAAGATATGTGCAAATAAAATCATAAAAAAGATAAAAAAAAAACGATAAAACGAACATATTTTAACAATCGTCTTCGGATCGGTTTACCATTTTTTTTTAAATGATGATATTCCAAAGTTAAATAAAAACGAACTTCAACAGAATTAAGTTTTAAAATCTTATGAAGGAACTGAGTTTTTGCCACAAACTCAAATATTCTCATCCCTATATCTTGGCAACCCAATGTCGTAGACCTTAGATATTTGAAACTAATTATTCTGTTAGATCAAATATCAAAGGTTTATACCAACTGGTTGCAGAGATATAGAAATTAGAAAATTTGAGGTTGTGGCAAAAACTCAATTCCTTTTATAAAAATATTCTCTAAAAACGAACCAAAACAAAGGATTAACAACAGTACCTGTATCTGGATGAGGTGGGATAAACCCAGGAACTGCATCCTTCCCACTCTCATCCGTTACAACCAGACCAGGACCATCAAAATATCGACTTTTAGCTAAAATAATTATCATTCATGGTGTTCTTAAAAGGAGATAGTGATTAAAAAAATTCTTTGAAAACGGACAATTGTTTCATGTAGGTAGAGCTATGGTAGAGCCTTCATAGAACAAGTTTTCTTTATTTCGAATCTTTTCTTTTTTGCCTTTAATTCCCATTATTAGCTTTGCTCAAAACAAATACCAAAAAATCACACAAAATACAAACACGATATTCTTGAATAAATTCTTTTTGAGAGCAAATACTTATGGCTTTTCCATTTTTAATTTTGCTGCTGTAAATTCACACTAATAATGGGAATAAAAGACAAAAAGGAAAATATTTACATGAAACCTGTTCTGAAAAGGCCCAACATGGCTCTTCATTGAATTTTTTTGAACCTATACCCACTTTAAGAACGCTGTGCAATATGCATTATTATTTCGTCATTTAATATTTTCTCTAATCTTATTTGAGTTTTAATATAATGCAGGAAATAAATTCTTGAAAGCTATTCATACATCGCTGCTTACATAATCTTGAAGAAGCTCAAGTTTTGGTTCAGAATTTCAGACGAAAAAAGAAGAAATTTTGATATTTTCGTCAAACTGGATTCTTAAAATGAGATTTTGACCGAAGCATTATTAGCCAAATATTATTTGAAAATGTTTGCATTTTTTATTTTGGGTGAAGTACACTCAGATGAAGACCCTTCTATGCTTTTTCATGATCATTAATCAATTATTCTCTCTAGGGTCTCGTCAACAAATAAGAATTCATACACTCTTGGCACATGTTTAAACAACACAAAATTTACCTGAATCGGTAATCTTAAAATCATCTTTTCTGTCAGATGAAATCTAGAAAAATTAAATTAAATTAAAAAGGAACAAACTCTAATTTATTCATTTTGTTTGTTTTTAATCTTCCTGACCCAGTCCGAAATATATTTTCAATAAATGTGGAACACTAACTTCTACTTTTTTACTCTACAGAGGTTTGGTCCATCACCATCACCGACTTTTAATTTTATTCATTCCTTTCAACCTTCAACTAGAATTAGTTTCCCTGACTGTATGGTAAACCCTACCTTCAACTAATTAATTTTTGGTTTCTTTGACTGATCAGTAAACCCTACCTTATCCTCTACAATAGTTTCCTTGACTGTAGAGTAAACCCTACCTTATCCTCTGCAAGTTTCCTTGGCTGTATAGTTAACCCTACCTTCTTCTCTGCAATAGTTTCCCTGACTGTATAGTAAACCCTACTTTCTCCTCTGCACTAGTTTCCTTGCCAGTAAAGTTAACCCTACCTTCTCCTCCGCAATAGTCTCCTTGACTGTTGCCTCCTTGCTTCTCAACAGTTTGTCATCGTATGAAAGCCTTGTGATTGAAGATCTAAAATATAGAGGTTAAAATAGAAAATATTTAGAAATTAGCAAAGGGAATGTTTCTCAATTTTGAGAGGAGGTCTGATCGAAGACGAATTTTTTTTTATCAAAATCATCTGCGAAAATTTATTTTACGAAACTGCATAAAAAAAGTTCAGATCAGACTTTCAGGACTTTCAGGCCCTGTACTCCCCTGACTGACTATGAATATTAGATCTGATAAGATTTTAGTTATTGTTTTGGTACTTCATATGTTTGATCATGAGTCGACCTTGAACTTTTTTCAAAACTTATGAACAATCCCTTCGCAATCATTTATCATTTAGTTTTAAAAAAAGGGTTAAAAAAATTAGTAACAAAAATTAAAACAAAATCAGTGACATGCATTATTTCTATAAGGAAACTATAAGGAAAAGGAATCTGAAAGAGGTCCCGTTATGAACCCCCCAGACCGCCGGCAGGGATGGGAAGCACCGTCCCACTCCTACTCTAACTGGACCTTTTTACCTACAACAATTAGCCCATTGTCAGAAGATACAAAGGAGATACATTCCAGCCAGTGGCTCATCAATTAGCTCCATTGGATGATTGGTATCTAACAACCCTTTAGGAGAAGTAAAGAGGTTACCCGAATTTAAGCTGTTCCTGCCAAGTCCATCCACCGCTCCAGCAGCAAATTTATCTTTTCGGTCCTTTTCAACAGCACTTCCTTTGAGACATTATCTCCCCCTAACATCCCAGTAAGGATTGCCGTGCTACTGCGTGGCCTCAACTGTACTGTACTGTACTGTACTACTGAATTGATGCACTATTAAACACTAAGAAAGTGTTCACTGTACGACTGTACAACTAAGAATAATTCACACACACAGAAACTGTAAACTTTACAACTGTACAACTATACCTATCCAATACATTCGTGTTGTTAGTTGTTCCTGAGTTGACTGTCACCTCACCATAGTCACCGTTGTTATTGTTGTTAATGCTGAAATATCGTTGTTAAAGAGAGTGTTCACTAAACTGGATCATACCATTAGATGACAAGTAAAATAATTGCCTTGAGCGGATTTTGGTCTGATATGACAAGGAAACAAATGGAGAAACTAAATTTAATTTGATTTTTATCACTTTAACTTAAAAAAGGGATCTTTGTGAAAAAATAAAGATAGATTTCAGATTGAGATTTTTTTTTGTTAAGTAAGGGACTTCAACATTTTTTTGCATGTGACGTCTCATTTTGCGTAAGTCATCAATCAAAGTAAAAAAGTTGGTTCCTTGTTTTAAATTCTTTCAAATGTAAATCCTTAAAAACCATTATTTTTAATTTTCATTGTCATATCATGACTCATCCTCCGGCATTGTGCATTGTGCATGCTAATTTAAGGGGGGTATGGGACAGCCCTTATTAACCTTGTCATTAACACTCCCTTTAAAGGAACTACTCTTGGTTTTAAAGGAGTCAAGGTGTCTTTTATACTTCAGAGAATTTTTAAATAAACGATGTTAGTTAAACTCATCTTTAATGCGTCATAGTGATTTTGACCAAACTAATAAATTTTAATAATTGCAAATCCAATGAGATAACTCCAAATCTAATAATTGCAAATCCATCGAGATAACTCCGAACTTAATAATTGCAAATCCAATGAGATACCTCCAAATTTTACTAATTGCAAATCCAATGAGATACCTCCAAATTTTACTAATTGCAAATCCAATGAGTAACTCCAAATTCAAATAAATGCAAATCCAGTGAGATAACTCCAAAATTTCAGTTCAATTTTTAAGATTAAACAGTTTGGCGCTCATGGTAAAGAAATTAGTCTTTTTTGCAAAAAAAAAATTAACGTAAAAAAAAATATGGACACCAAAACTCCTGTTTAAAACCAAAAAGTGTCCCTTTATGAAAACATATTGTTAAAAGTTAAAATATATGCAATCGTCTGCCCTGAAAATATTTATTTAGAAAATACGATTAATAAATCCACAACCAACAACCCTTGGAATAATACTGTAGCTAATACAAACCTACACTTTATAATACCTATATCTGAGCAACCTGACTGTGAAAGCTTTTATATTTCAAACTTACGAGTATTTGATTTAACAGAATTCATAATTTAAAATATCTAAAGGCTACACCATTAGGTTGCAAAGTTACGGGGATTAGAAAATTAGATTTTGTGGCAAAGACTCAATTCCTTTCCAAGAAATAGGTAAAAATCAAATTATCAAAATATCTATGTTTTTGACATCTTTTCAATCAATTCTTTTTAATAAAACAAAAACCAAAAACCATAATTTTACAGAGACACTTAACCCCACAAAGTAAACAAAGGACACAAATAAACTCTAAAAAAATCATTTAATAATAAATATCAGCTGAAAAGTTAACAAAATAGAAAAATAATTATTTTTTCTTTAACTTAAATAAAATCTATCAATCCAATACATTAGTGGTGGAAAAGGAAGAAAAAAGATGGAGGAATTAAGAAAAAATATTATGATAATAATAAAAACAAAAACATTCAAAGTTAATTACCATCCCTTAAAACTCAGATTGAGCTTTCTTTGAAAAGAACAGAGGTTACTTAAAAAATTAAGAGCTTATTATGAAGATAACTTTGATAAGATTTCAGAAATGAAGAAGTATCGAGAAGAATAAAGTTTTCTAAATTTTTAAGGAGAGAAGAGGAAAAAACATTAAAACAATCTTGAAATATCAAGAAGAGAAAAAGAGAGGAGGAAAGAAGATTAAAATAATCTAGAAATATCAAATAAGAGAAGAGGAAAGAAGATTAAAGTAATCTAGAAGTATCAAAGAAGAGAAGAAGAAAGAAGATTAAAGTAATCTAGAAGAATCAAAGAAGAGAAGGAGAAAGAAGATTAAAATAATCTAGAAGAATCAAAGAAGAGAAGGAGAAAGAAGATTAAAATAATCTAGAAGTATCAAAGAAGAGAAGAAGAAAGAAGATTAAAGTAATCTAAAAGTATCAAAAAAGAGAAGAGGACAAAAATAAAGTAATCTAGAAGTATCAAAGAAGAGAAGAGGAAAGAAGATTAAAGTAATCTAAAAGTATCAAAGAAGAGAAGAAGAAAGAAGATTAAAGTAATCTAGAAGTATCAAAGAATAGAAGAGGAAAGAAGATTAAAATAATCTAGAAGTATAAAAGAAGAGAAGAAGAAAGAAGATTAAAGTAATCTAGAAGTATCAAAGAAGAGAAGGAGAAAGAAGATTAAAATAATCTAGAATTATAAAAGAAGAGAAGAAAGAAGATTTAAGTAATCTAGAAGTATCAAAGAATAGAAGAGGAAAGAAGATTAAAATAATCTAGAAGTATAAAGAAGAGAAGAAGAAAGAAGATTAAAGTAATCTAGAAGTATCAAAGAATAGAAGAGGAAAGAAGATTAAAATAATCTAGAAGTATAAAGAAGAGAAGAAGAAAGAAGATTAAAGTAATCCAAAAGTATCAAAGAAGAGAAGAGGAAAGAAGATTGAAATAATCTAGAAGTATAAAAGAACAGAAGAAGAAAGAAGATTAAAGTAATCCAAAAGTATCAAAGAAGAGAAGAGGAAAGAAGATTGAAGTAATCTAAAAGTATCAAAGAAGAGAAGAGGAAAGAAGATAACATAAAGTATTTTAAAGAAAAAGGTTTTATGAAAATAATTAATTATATAATGGAAGGACATAAGATGAAAATAATCGAAAAGTTTTAAAGAAAATTAAAGCAAAGAAGATTAACGAAACTTCAAGTATGGAAGATGAAGATTAAAAGGAGCAAAAGAGATTAACGAAACTTCAAGTATGGAAGATGAAGATTAAAAGGAGCAAAGAAGATTAACAAAACTTCAAGTATGGAAGAAAAAGATTAAAAGGAGCAAAGAAGATTAACAAAACTTCAAGTATGGAAGATGAAGATTAAAAGGAGCAAAGAAGATTAACGAAAATTCAAGTATGAAAGATAAAGATTAAAAGGAGCAAAGAAGATTAACGAAACTTCAAGTATGGAAGATGAAGATCAAAAGGAGCAAAGAAGATTAACGAAACTTCAAGTATGGAAGATGAAGATTAAGAGGAGCAAAGAAGATTAACGAAAGAAATAAAAACTAAGTATTAAGGCAGTACAGCGCAACCCTCCTCCTCCACCCTCGAATCCTTAAATCCATAGCCTGCTCTTAATAACACCGTTGAACAAAATTAACACATATTTCTCGAAAAAAAATCTTTCCATTACAACTTGCTACTTATGATTTAAAATTATTTAAGCAGAGTTTAAGGGGACAGGGGGGGAGCGGGGGTGTTTATCCCCCCCCCCCACGAAGATAGGTATGTTCTAGGATTTGTTCGCTGAATTGGGTAAAAAGTATGAAAAAGGATGACAAAGCTTAAATGTTCAATTTTAAATTGTTTTCACCGAGATATTCAAAAATCATTCTTAATTCTTAAATTTTCTAAAAAATATACACCCCGGGGGTGGGATAACCCTGAGAGCTTATGAATGAATGTTAAACAGATTGGGGAATTAAGTCAGGAGTCGTGTTCCCCCACCAATTATCCATTTCCCCCAGAATTTCGCTCATTCCAGGAGTTCAAATATAAACACAAGCTCTCAACATATACACAGGACAAGGAAAGAACAACTATGTTGAGGATAAAATATAAAATAATAAATAATAAATCGGGAAAAAGAATAAAATTACAAACAAAAAAAGTAGAGACAGAAAAGATTGATAGATTTAAATATTTCATAAAAATTAAGCAAGCGTAAAAAATGAGATCTTCGGTTGTTAAAATACATTAATTATTAAACATGCAGCTGTGATTAAATAATTTAAAAATTTGTTAAGAATAAATGATCTCTCGTAGCTAAACATTAATATTCTATTTAAGTGTACATATCCCATTCTTCCAGAGTTAGTTTGTTAAAAATCAGAGAGTGTACAAAACAGAACAAGTTATCTAAAATCTTTAAAAACATTGTAGATCTGTCATTTCCAGTAAGCCCCAATTTAAGAATGTTTAGCTGATTCAAACTATACTCTTTGCATCTTGTGTCTAAGCAAACACGAGGAATATATTGCCGATTGTTTAACTGCAATTAAAAAGTTGAACAAGTTTCAGATAAAACAACAAGGTTAATTTAATCTTTTTTACTCACAAAAAGGTTTCAAGGGTACTGTTGTGAATCTGACAGACCACTTTTTAAATAAGGAGTCATTTAAAAATACGTTTAGTGTTTCTTTAAGAGTTAGAGTGTAATTATAGACGGCTTGATCCGAATCCAGGGAGTTCAAACTGATCCGGATCCAGGGAGTTTAAACGGATCCGGATCCAGGGAGTTTAAACGGATACGGATCCAGGAAGTTTAAACGGATATGGGTCCAGGAAGTTTAAACGGATATGGGTCCAGGGAGTTTAAACAAATATGGATCCAGGGAGTTTAATCGGATATGGGTCCAGGGAGTTTAACCGGATATGGGTCCAGGGAGTTTAAACAAATATGGATCCAGGGAGTTTAAACGGATACAGATCCAGGGAGTTTAAACGGATAAAATCTGACAGACCACTTCTTAAATAAGAAGTCATTTAAAAATACGTTTAGTGTTTCTTTAAGAGTTAGAGTGTAATTATAGACTGCTTGATCCGACAGGAATAGGGTTAAACGGATATGGGTCCAGGGAGTTTAAACAAATATGGATCCAGGTAGTTTAAACGGATACGGATCCAGGGAGTTTAAACGGACCCGGATCCAGGGAGTTTAAACGGATACAGATCCAGGGAGTTTAAACGGATCCAGATCCAGGGAGTTTAAACGGATATGGGTCCAGGGAGTTTAAACAAATATGGATCAAGGTAGTTTAAACGGATACGAATCCAGGGAGTTTAAACGGACCCGGATCCAGGGAGTTTAAACGGATACGGATCCTGGGAGTTTAAACGGATCCAGATCCAGGGAGTTTAAACGGATCCGGATCCAGGGAGTTTAAACGGATACGGATCCAGGGAGTTTAAACGGACCCGGATCCAGGGAGTTTAAACGGATCCAGATCCAGGGAGTTTAAACGGATCCGGATCCAGGGAGTTTAAACGGATCCGGATCCAGGGAGTTTAAACGGATCCGGATCCAGGAGTTTAAACGGATACGGAATCTGGAAAAATCAATGACATGAGTTCTGTAATTTTCTAAACTCAATGGATAAAAGTATTGTGAACTTTATCAAGGATTCACAAGAGAATCCTTTAAAGGGATTGTTCCTTTATTCGAAAATTAAACTGGAATACCAATAGTCTTAATACGGAGTGACTATTTATGATGTTTAATTTCTTTTGATAGAAGAAAGTAATAGATTTAGGTGCAATTTATTGCTGAATAGATCAATGGTTACTTATATTTCCGGCCATCAAAGCGACATAAAGTTTGCGTATTTTTTAAAAGGTGAACAATTCCCTAAAACCTACATCTCATGATTTTTCATAAAGTTGGTGAATCGCTTATGGTAATCTTAATATTAAAGAGACACGTCGAAAATTAATGTTGTCCTGCTAAAATCCAACTTCAGAAAAGTTTATTTTCAACAGAAAATATTAACCTCTGGTTAGAAACAGTAGCATTCTCTTCTTAAAAACATTTTTTTTTGGAAAAATAGATTGTGTTTTGGTTAAAAAGTTTATGAATGTAGTTTGTTGAATATATTTATCCCTGATTACGGTGGACTAGAGTCAATTTGAATTTGAACCGGACCGACCCTTGTACCGGCCTTAGTGAAGCGCGGCAAGTACCGGCCCGACCCTATCCTACACCGGCTCGGTTTCGACTTTAATGGCGTGGCCCGACTTTTTACAGTACCCGGCCTATCATAGGCCTATTAATCTACCCCATCTACCCCACTAGCTTAGTTTGGTGTGGGTTAGTGTTCTACCTTCTCTTAGGAGGAGGAGGTTGGCTGGTGGGAACTATCTTGATTACATCAATTAGAGGTTTATCCTTCTGCAGGGTAGCCTGCTTCTTCTTCAGATCCTCAAGCAGTCTAAACGATAAATCAATCAATCAATAAATCAACCAACCAATTAATCAACCAAATATCAATCAATCATAATTTAAGCATATATCAGTCAATCAATTAATCATAAATCAATCAATCAATGATATAAATATCAATCAATCAATTTATCAACCAATCTATTATCTACAAACCTATTACATAATGGTAAACCTATTACATAATCAGAAATCTATCAATCAATCAATAACAAATCCAAAAGTTGTAAATAAATGAATCAATCAATTATATGCCAATTAATCAAAATCTATCAATCGACCAATCTTATTCGTTGATCAATCAATCATAAATCATTTGACCAGCTAATGAATTAATCATGTAAAAATTACAAAATTTATTAATGAGGGTCAGTCATCAAAAATCAATGAATCTAAATTTTTATTTTTAGTAAAGCAACTAAGGAGAAAGTTATCATGACTCAGGATAGGACAGGATGACAGAACAGGTTGGGACAGGACAGGTCGGGTCACAAACCTGAGAACATCGGGATCAGCAACATCAAACGGAGTTTGTCCAACACAGTTTTTAATCTCCATATTAGCTGAGCTCTCCACCAACAGTTCACATGCTTCACGCTGGGCCCAGTGCGCGGCAGCGTGCAGAGGGGTCCAGCCATCGTTATCCTGGGAAAAAAAGTTCGTTTATTAATTTGTTCATATTTTTTTCCATTTTCCCCTTGAAAATAGTTGCAACTAGGGGGGGGAACTTGTGGTTGATTAATGCTCCTACCTGTATGTTAACTTGTGCTCCAGCCTGTAGCAGAAGACTTATGACCTTGATGTAACCCTTGGCTGCTGCAACATGAAGAGCAGTAGCTCCGGTCTTTATATGCGGGACATCACCGAATACACCTATAAAACAACCAGCTTGGTTAGGCGGGTCCAATTCAAAATTACAAATTTGCAAGTAGGAGACCAAGACATCTTAAAGAGGGTTGATCAGGCTGCAATCCTTTATTTAATTCAAGTTTTGTCGACCAGTCCCTTTATATATTCGAAGTACTACCGGATATGTTCCTTTAAGGTCAAATACTTTGAATATAGGCACAGCAATGTTTTGAGAATTTTGGATAAATATTCGTAGAATCGTTAGTTAAAAATTTGAAAATGTATTCTTTTTTAAATAAAAGCCGATTTCTTATTCATGCTATCATAGGTACTATAGGTCGTATCTATCTATCTACACTGCTCTGGAAAAGCGTAACCATAGTGTGACTATGGTTCTACCTATGGTAAAACGTCTAAGAAATTGGCCATAAGTTTATTACACAAGCAACTTTTTTAACAGTACTTATTAGAATGGTTCAAAATCAGGTTTAATAATTTTTTTGGCTGAGAGCGCAGAAATTTTTTTAAGGAATAAATTTTTTTTTTCGATGATATTTGAGGAGGACACGTTTGTTTAATTTGTCAGCTTTTTTGTTGTTGCGAATTTTAACCCCACATGTGCCAAGTGAACTTCAATAAGTTTAAATTTTTAAACTTTCTACAGTCTAATAATGGCAAAAAGAAAAGATCGAGAAGGCGCCCTAAATCAAATTTTTATCTTAAGATAGCAAAAATCTCTCGGAAAGATTTTAAAAAATTACACAAGGACAGATTTATTCTTAAGATATACATAAGATATACTGGCATCATCTTAATCCATCCAGAAGTTTAAAATGTTATTAATTTGTCTCAAATAATAATTACTGTGATAACGATGATATTTAATATGTAGGAATAATAGACTCGTAAATTAAAAACGAATACAATACCTGAGTTGACCCACTGTCTCGCGTCATTCAACATCTCTCTTTCTTCACGATGTCTCGCCTCTTCGCAATCAATTTTCTAAACAAGCAACTTGAAAATAAACTTGAGATTGTATATTTTTAGATCGATTAATAATAGCTTCATTATTCAGATTTATATCAATGCTTGGTTGTTACTGTAAGGGGTTAAAGAGAGATTTTTTATTTTTAAAACCTAAATTATAAGGGGGAAAAAATCATGAATCAAAAGAACATTATCTTCTTTTTCTAGCTTTAATACAGTTTTGTTTAAGAGTGTCGACGTATATTTTAAAAATATGTACTTTTGATGAGGCCTTTTTTTATCATTTTATTGCAGTATTTGTTTAGAAGAATCTGTGTATATAAAGTAGTTAATCTGTTCGTCTGTCATAATATGTTATTAAATAATAATAAATATTTTGCTTTAAATAAGTTGCAGGAAGTGAGTTGCTTCTCCCCCAAACCTAAGGAAAAGTGTCGATCCAAAAAATTAAAAATAAAAAAATTGAAAAATAACTTTTTTCTTATTAAAAAATACTGGATGAAAAAAATTAGCTGCAGGCATAATTCTTTCTAAAAAAGGGGTAAACAAATTATGTCCTATTATTAATAAGAATTATACTATATAGATAGATATAACCCTGTGTTCAGTGTTTATTCTGTTAAGTGTCTAGCTCAGTAATTTATGTTTACTTTTAAAGAGTATCCCGAATTATAAACAATAAACAAAAAAACAAACTTTGAACCGAAATGTTTAAGAACTAAATGTGTCCATGGGTTACTGTTGTTTATCCGATGCTTAAAATTTTTGAACAAATTCAAAATAATATATAATAAAGATTTTTCTTCTTTATTTGCCATGATGAAAAAGTCTGATCTGAGACTTGTTAATCTTAAAACCCTTGATTTCGGTATCTTATGTGGACACTTAGAGGATCAATGTTGATCCCTCAATAAGTGGCCATCATAGGATATCGAAGAGAAATCAAATTAGCCCATAGATTGACATAAAATTGGGATCAATGCTTTATTCCCGAAATTCACAAAAAAAAAGTTTTGAATTCTTAGCCAAAATTTAGAGAATTTGAGCCGTGGTTCAAACATGAGACGCGGTTCAAACATGGTTGGTTTCACTTGAAATTGTATTAAGTGTTTCCAGATTTGAGCCGGCGCTCGATTGGAACCGGTTTTTTGGGGATTGACCTCTGGTTTAATAATATTTCTAATAATTCTGTATCTGTTTTGTTTCCTGATATCTATGGCCAACTCGCCATCATTGTTGACTGCTGCTACATTCGCCTTGAAGTCCAACAAGTATCTAAATAAAATTTTTTTGAGTTGACAAAGATAAAAATATATTTTAACCAATTCAGGTTTTTTTTTTTGGAGGGGGAAGGGTGTTTTGAAGAGAAATTTTGCCTTTTTTATAATTTAGGTAAATTTTTAAGGAACCATTATACTTGGATTACTAAGAAATTGACTAAACTGACAATGAAACAAAGTCCATTAACCTGGCAATACTAAGTAATTCACTAAACTGGAAATACTAAAGAATCCAATGATATGGCAACACTAAGGAATACACTATAGAATCACTAACTTGACAATACTAAGGAATCCACTAGCCTAGCAGTACTAAAGAATCCACTAACCTGGCAATACTAAGGTATCCACTAACCTGGCAACACTAAGAAATCCACTAACCTGACAATACTAAGGAATCCAAATACCTGATAGTACTATGAAATCCTCTTACCTGTCAATACTAAAGAATCCACTGACCTGACAATACTAAGGAATCCACTAACCTATCAATACTAAGAAATCCACTATCCTGGCAATATTAAAAAATCCACTAACCCGGCAATTTTTAAAAATCCACTAACGTGGCATTGGAAATAATAAGAAATCCACTAACCTGGCAATACTAAGGAATCCACTAGCCTAGCAGTACTAAAGAATCCACTAACCTGGCAATACTAAGGTATCCACTAACCTGGCAATACTAAGAAATCCACTAACCTGACAATACTAAGGAATCCAAACCTGGCAGTACTATGGAATCCTCTAACTTGACAATACTATGAAATCCTCTTACCTGGCAATACTAAGGAATCCATTAACCTGGCAATACTAAGAAATCCACTATCCTGGCAATATTAAAAAAAAACCACAAACCTGGCATTGGAATAAATAAGAAATCCACTATCCTGGCAATATTAAAAAAAACACTAACCTGGCATTGGAATAAATAAGAAATCCACTAACCTGGCATTGGAATAAATAAGAAATCCACTAACCTGGCAATACTAAGGAATCCGCAAGAAGCAGTTGCATGAAGAGGAGTCCACCCCTCATTATCTCCTCGGTTAACATCAGCTTTATGCTCCACAAGGAACTCAACCATCTCAAGGTTATCATCAATACAGGCCTTAACACATCAAACATAAATGAGGGATCATCAACAAATTCATAATTATATCCCCAAAAAAACGCAATTTTGTGATAAAATCAAAAGGACAATTTGAAATAAAATTTAATAACAAATTATAACTCAAACATTAAAATTTGAAAGAATCCATAGAAAATTTTAATGTTCTTTTTTTTTAAGAATATACGAAAAATTTATCATTATTTATAGTTCCGTTGTTCAATGAGTCAAAACAAACTTATCTCAACATTGCGAAATTGAGATAAAGAGATTTATTTTTGTGTTGAGATTATACTGTAAGACACAAAAAAATAGGCATTTAATCACCGCTTACATCGTAATTCCATTTTCCAATTCAAATATTGATATGAAACTAGAGGGGAGGGAAGATAGAGTGAATGTGATCGTAAGAATGACGGTGAACAGTGGCTTCTTTAATTATGGATTTACGGCAAATTTAAACATGTTCTTGGCAAGCACAGTATTAGAAAGGTGGGGGGAGGGGCATGGGACCAACTCGTCCTTACATGGAACCATCTACTTAATTCCATCAACCCACCTGATGGAGTGCTGTCAGACCGTCTACGTTAGCAGTATCAATGTCAGCCCCACGAGCCAGCAATGCCTCCACCTCTCCTTTATCTCCGGCGGCGCACGCTGCCAAAAATACGCAACCATCACTGAATCCGATTCGGCGCGATTTTTTTAACTTAGGTTCACTTGGCTCTTTGTATGTTTCACTTTCTTGCCAACGTTTAAGTTGCTCTGAACGCTTCATGAGCGCAGAATTGGATCGGGTTTCAAGGGACATTTTGATTTTCATAAAATAATCACATTCTCGTTGTGAGACCCTCAAAGTATTCAACTTTAAGAATAATAGTAGCAAGTCCCTCCTCACTACAGCTGTTTTTTATACTTTCTAACTTTACACTGCCAAATAGGAAAGCCGAGCTGGTAAATACAACTAGAGCCACCTAGCGGAAAAAAATTCACCAAAAAATAATTAATTCAACACAGTTTTAAATGTGTAGAATCTACAATCTCGAGCTTATACAGGACGAGTCTGATAAAAAAAATTCTAAGCTTCCAGAGGTTTTTTATCATTATAGAGCAATATCGAGATTAGAGTTTATTAAACTTTGTTGCAATTAATTGCTTCGAATGAATTAGAATTCGTCATTAAATATAATTAAACAGGCAAAGTTCTTTTGTCAGAGAACAACTTAAGTCCATTGGAATGCCTTAAATCCATAAAAAGGTTGATTTATTTAAAAAAATGATCGAAATGCAAATGTATTGATATTACAAAATGTCGTCATTTTCCGTTTCTTTTTTTAGTTTCGCGGTTTTGTTATTGTACCAGCTGCTGTCAGCTGTTGACAGCTGGTCGTCTGCATAAATCGATTTATCAGCTGTGACAGCCATGCTCACACCAGTTCAACTTTCAGTACAGAAAAAGACAAGCACGGCGACGTGCGAAAAATGTTCATAAATAATAGTTTTATTAAAGAACTTTTTGTGTTTATTTATTTTTTTGAAACTCTGTGCACACAAGTTGGACTCAGTGAAAAACAAAAACAAGGTTTGTTTGTTTTAATTTAGTAATTTTTTACTTACAAATCATGTGAAAAGTTTTACAGTTTCACAATTTATTCGTGAAAATTTATTTAATACTTGCCTTGTTTTCGAATTTCTTTAATTTTGTTTCAATTAAGCATTATAATATATACATCGTGTTTTATTGATTTTGTTTTTTTTCTCTTCCTGTGTGCGCGCGCATGCTGCCCATGTGCGTGCACATTGCGCGCGAAATTCGTTTCTTTTTTTAAATTCCTTCAAACATAGATTTTTTAAAAAATTATTATTATTCAATTATGAATATTTGGATCTACGCAATACTAAAATAATATAATAATCGCTATTCATACGGATTCAGATGATATAAATTATTTAGATAGATGTCTAAAAATTATGATCTAAAGCCAAACAATTGTGAATGATATTCGTAAGCAACCAACAAAACACGCAGCGAATTTATTTGTGGGGAAATTTCTTTGGGCCTGTCCTAGAGAACGATTTTTGACAAAAATCGTTCACTAGGACAGGCCCAACAAACTAAAGCCTAGGATTTGATAATTTCAAAAAGTTACTTTGGGGTAATTACCCCCAGGATTCTGGACGGAACGTGGGGGGGGGGTCCTCCAATAAACCCCCTTAACGACACTTAGAGCAGACAGGGTGTGTATTTTCATGGAAATCCAGGGGACATTAGTTCCAAAAGTAACACTTGGCCCATTTCTAACACTGAGTGTTAGAAATGGGCACAAATTGAAAGACTGTGTTTTTAGGATCCCGACCCATATCGAGAGTGAAAGTCGATAGTTAAAACTATAACCAACATTTTATTAAGCATGACAAGGACAACAATTCCCAATTTAAAACTATTTTCTGGAATCACAATTGTAGCAGGAGTTCTTTTTTATTAAAACCTTGGCCGTTTTCAAGACAATGTCAGGTTTTTCATTTTCGAACATATCCTGAATTTGAATCATATTCGCGTTTTCGAGACAAACCCCACTTTCCCATTTTTGAGTATAATCCTCAATTCAAATTAAAGCTAACTTTCATAACTTACAAAATAAATCACAGATAGTAAAAATTATTTAATGAAGACTAAATTAACTACTAAATTATTTCTGAAATCTTTATTTCTCTATTTTATTTTTTAAATAAGAGAATAAAGTTTATTTAATTTCCCGCATTCTAAATAAACTATTTCCTGGATTTCTAGTTAAATCTATATTGAAAGAACAAAATAATTTTAAATTTTTGATTTCTTGATGCTATATAATGATTTTTAAATCATAAATGAACAGTATTTTTTTTTCTCTTGTTCATATTTTACCTTGTCAAAAAATCATGTTTTGGTACATAAGTGCGTAAATACTTGAAAATTGACATTGATATGAATTCGAGTAATTGTTTCAAAACCAGGACATGTTCCAAAAACGCGACATGAGCTGAAATGCGGTAATTGCTCCAAAATAGGGATATGTTCGAAAATGTAAACCAATATGATCACCAAAAAAACTAATTCTCATACCTTATTATTAGTTTAAAGTTGACATTTCATGTTTAAATAATTAGTTTTAGCCATTTTTAAAAAATGTATAGTGTATTTTTGTTCAAATCGACTTTGATTTAAAGATATATACGCTTAAAAAAGATAACTTTTCAGATTTGGCCCATTTCTAACACTCAGTGTTAGAAATATATCCAAGTTTTAGTTTTGTAACTAATTTACCCTGAAATCACTCCCCTGAACCGCCCCCCTTTCGAAAAATTTTTTTCTCCAGAAATTAGGTATGTTTATTTTATTAGGTATTTTTCGTTTTATTTGGAATAATAATGATTTTTGCGGAAAAGTGATTGAAAATTGGGTTATAAAGATAAATAATGTGCATTTTTTTATTCCCCCCNTGGAGTACCTTGAACTATAATATGTTTACTATCTAGACATATTGGAGTACCTTGAACTATAATATGTTTACTATTTAGACATATTGGAGTGCCTGGGCTACGCAAAGTTCGGGTATTTAACATCAACAGTCACAGTAGTATTCAGATGCTAAGTATTAGTGGAAATACAATTCACTTCCACTGCTCCTTTTTCTCGGATAAGGTAGAAAATTTCGTCCTGTTGTGAATCCCTAAACGCTATGGGAAATTCTTTAACACAATTTTATTATTATTTTTTCCTCCAAAAAAATGCACCTTTTCATCAAAGTCGTCAATTTTCCTTAAAGTTTTAATTCTAGGTTTCAAATTCTTCCTTCCCTCTCATAATGTAATGGGTTCGGAAGAGTAGGAAGGGGGATATTTTAACATTTTTATAATGTCGTTTTCAGATAAAATTGGAAGGGGGGGGGGTGCGCAGTTACGGGTACGCCTTACAATAGTAACAAGAAAGCCTTAAAATGGTCGTTTCTATTTTTATGATTTTCGTCAAGGATTTTGTCCACTAACAACCCGAAAACTGGGGTTAAACTTTATCTCTTCTCATTACTTTAATAAGCAATTTTCTAATTTTAATGGTATATTGATTGATTTATCAAAATATTTTTTTTTAGAAGAATTATGATTTGCCCCTTTGTTATGATCTCAGTTTGCTGTTTTATTTTTTGATAATATTGTTATTACCTTTAAATCTTGCCTTGCTGCTACGCTTATACTTAAATTTCAAATATTTAACGATTAACATAACTAATTTTATTAGTCATCAGTGCATTCAAATTTGTTCTTTTTAATCCTGACCTTAAAATACAAGCTGGAATGAAACTGAAAATTTAAATAATATATTAACAAAACATTTCATGACTGTTTTTTCATACATAAATCCGTAATAATGTTGCTGATTTGATTTCGATTCGAACAATTTAATTCAATTTTTACTCGATTTGATCTGTAAAATGACCCTTTCTGCAAAGTACAAGAGCACATAAATCACAAAATTAATTCTTTCTCGATTTTTCACTAAATAAAAAATATATTACTTCGGTTCAAGTTCATAAGTCGGAACCTTACTGTTGTGAATCTTGGGAGCAAGTTTTATTGATCTCTATCATGACATATTGGGGCCTGTCATGAATTTTTCCTAAAGAGAGTTGGGATCAGTTCAGCTAGTTTTTAATATAGTTGAATGTTATTAATTTCTGTATTTTTGTTCAGGATTTGTCCGAGTACACGATCAAGATTATGAATTTTTTGAAGATGGTCAAACTATCTCAATTTCACAGGTTGGATAATAAACATTTGAAATTAAATACAATTTTTAGAAACAATAAACCATCTGGAAAAAAATACCGATTTTGCTTAGTACCGTGCAGGTCAACCGAATGTCATACAGAACCAAAACAGTTTTATTCATCTCTGTTTTTTAACAACCAACAACAATATTGCCGTTTGGTCGATCCTTGTTTCTCTTTATCAAAAAATAAAACAATTCTGTTTCTTTTCAAACAATAACATTAAAACAATCTTTTTTTTATTTTATAAACGTTTTTTTTCTTCAGGCAAATAATGAAAACCTTTCTGTTTCTTTTTAAACAAACAATAAAACAGTTTTGTTTATTTATCAAGTTTGTTTTCCAGATTAAAACCTTCTTGTATATATATATGGGTTTTTTTTCCCCAGAAAAAACATAAAAACAGTTTTTATTTATGTATCTTCTAACAAAAAATTAATGTGTTTATTTCTGTTTCTCTTCAAATAAACGAACAAAAACAGTGTCCTACAAAAAAAATTACTGCTGTTTTGTTTATTTCTGTTTCACTCAACAAACAATGAAAATTTAATATTTTTTTTCAGAGTTTCTCCGAGGACCAAACTTTTAGCTACCAGGAATAAAATCAATTATTTATTTTATCTAAATATTTATTATTAGGCGTTAAGGCCGACTCACGACCCTTTTTAACGTACTCAGTGTTTTAATTTGTTTTTTACGCCTTTTTTCGTAAAATTTTGATTTGACAAATGTAAAGTTTTTGAAAGTATTTCTTTTTTCGACCACAGCCTGTCATGTGAGGAACAGAAAATGTTGGGCCGATACAGTGGTCTCCGTAATAAGTTAAATGCAACTACGACTTTTAAATTCTATTTAATAATTGGTTTGTGAAGGATGAGGAGGGAACCATCACCGTCCTGGGTAGTCCAATTAAATTCGATCCACCAAATATTAATTTTAAAGAGCAGTAAGTATCTCATTGTAAACTTTTAATTTCTCTTAGGATCTAATAACAATTAATTCCAATTCGTGCTAAAGAAACACGTAACTTTTTAATCTAGAAACTTTAATTTTAGTTTAAATACAACTATTGAATTTCTATTTATAGCTAAGTAAACCTAGAATTTATATTTTAATTAAAATATCGATATTTTTTACTTTGTTCAATTTGTTCAATGGTATGTTTATAGATGAATGTATTAAATATTTTTTCTGTAAGAAAAATGTTTTTAACATTTGCATCAACAATTTGATTCATGCAATATTCTTAATGTCACTGTAAAGTTTAGACTTTTCAGATATATTGGAAATGTACTTTGTTTTGTTGTTAAAAAAGATTCAGATAAATTATCTTTAAAATGTGAACTTTTTAGACATAATTTGATTAATTTCTAGACATATTGGAGTACCTTGAACTATAATATGTTCACTATCTAGACATATTGGAGTACCTTGAACTATAATATGTTTACTATTTAGACATATTGGATTACCTTGAACTACAATATGTTTACTATCTAGAAATTATTGTAAATAGTAGTATTATTATCATTATTAACATTATAATTATTGTTTTTGTAATCACAATCGATAATGTAATTTTTATCGTTATCGTCAGTGTTATCATTATCCTAACCTTAATGAATCATGACCATAGTCATAAAACCAAAACAATATTAAAATAATGAAAACAACAATAATAATTGACAAAACAATAACTGTAGAATAACAATAACAATTCAAATTATGTTTGTAATTGTCCATAAAATCTATCATAAATTAATATTACTTCTATCATTATATTTAATTTTTTACCTGTTGCTAAGCTATAAAATTAACGCAGCAAATATATTTTTTATTTCTTAAAATAAACCCTACTATTACGTATAGTTATGTAACATGTATTCTACGAAATATATTACCAAGTTTAAACTGATTTTATCAAGGTTTTAGACGAATTATAATGCTTAAAAATAAAACAGTAAAATCTCAATAATCTCTAAATGCATCAATTTTATGACTGATTATTTAAAGAAAATCATCAAGTTTGGTAATTTTATATTAATTAAGTATGTAAAAACGTCAGTTTGACCGATATTACAAACTATTTTATTCTACATTAAAAATTAACAATTATTTTGAATTTTTTTCTTCAAAGTCAAATTATGAACAATTCCTTAAATAAAGATACAGCTTCCAAAAAAAATTAAAATTAAACAATAATATATTTTTATATATAATATATATAGGAATCTTAATAAAACGTTCCAATTAGTTCATTGAAAGATGTTACGGTCTTGTTTAAATTGTTTGTTTTCAAAGAAATACATTCCCGAATTAGAATTTCGTGCATGTTCGTGCATTAATCCTTAATTTACTTACTTTCAATATTTAACTAAAAATAATGGATATCACCATAGTTATTTTATGGTACCGTTGTGAATCAGGCATGTACCTCCATAAGATCAAATAAAGATTATCATTCACAAAAGTATATAATTAAGTTATTATTCCTAGGGCCGAATTTAGTGAGGTCGCTTAACTTCAAATACTTATCTGTAGTTTGGCAATGAAGTTTGTATCTATGAAGCGGCGATACTAGAGCCGTGGTTGAACCATCCACCTGGCTCAAATTCACTAAATCTGTCCCTTGGTTCATTAATATTTTCTGGATGGATGGAATTTAATAATAATAATAATAATAAAGGTTTATTTTAGTCAACACACTCTTTAATTTCTTTAATCTTTAATTATCAGGTATAATGTTGAGGGTGAGGCGACCCCTAACCCTTACCGTATCCGACCCCTGTTGGGGGTCAAGATGCCGGTCAACTCCAGCTACAGTCCGGTCATTCAGATACATAATCCTCATCCAACCACTATACAGGTACAGCTCCGGTCATACAGATACATAATCCTCATCCAACCACTATACAGGTATAGTTCCGGTCATACAGGTACATAATCCTCATCCAATTACTATACTGGTACAGTTCCGGTCATACAGATACATAATCCTCATCCAACCACTATACTGGTACAGTCCGGTCATACAGATACATAATCCTCATCCAACCACTATACAGGTACAGTCCGGTCATACAGGTATATAATCCTNAAGTACCATACACGTCCCATTGAACTATACATGTCCAATTAAGTACCATACACGTCCCATTGAACTATACATGTCCAATTAAGTACTATACACGTCCCATTGAACTATACATGTCCAATTAAGTACTATACACGTCCCATTGAACTATACATGTCCAATAAAGTACTATACACGTCCCATTGAACTATACATGTCCAATAAAGTACCATACACTTCCCATTGAACTATACATGTCCCATAAAGTACCATACACTTCCCATTGTACTATAAACGTAAACAACGCTTTTAATTTCAAGGGTGTTATTGCCGATTCATTACATCAAAAAATCGTGCTTTTGCTCTTAAAAATAAGAAAATTTCAAGAAAATGTTGTCTTATCTTTCTTGATAGAGTTTCATTTTTATAATCCTCCTTTCTTGAAATTTTCTTATTTTCAAGAGCAAAAGCACGATTTTTTGATGTAATTAATCGGCAATGACAGCCTTGGAATGGAGAGCGTTTACAATGATTAAAGTTTTAGTTAAAGATGTATTTAGATAAAGAAATATTTTTCCTCTTTTATTGGTGGAAAAACATTTCCTTATATCCTTATATTTTCACAACCTAATGTCGTAGACCATTAATATTTACGGATTCTGGTAAATCTAATAGTCATTTAGAAAGTTAAATTTTACACCATCAGGTTGTAAAGATAAAAAGCTAAGCAAATTATAGTTCAATGTGAATGTTCATTTCTTGTATTAAAAAAATCGAGCTTTTCATAGAAATTTTGTTACTTTTTTATTTAGGATTCGAACCAACAGTACTGGTGCAGAGTATCTTTATCTACCTTTAGAGATAGAAGTAACCTCAACGCCAGGGATATACTGCCCTCAGGTACACTAAAAATGGACATCTTCGGATTTTTCAGAAATCGCTTTTAACTTTTCGGTAGCAAGAACATCTAATCGAAAAAGACTTATAATTTTAAAAGCCTTTTTTTTAATGCAGAATTAATTTTCAATTTTTCACTACTGTTTTTAACTGTTTTTCGTTTAGGTCAAATGTTTTAAGTTCCGCTTTAAAACTGATTTCCAAACGTTTTTCGATCGTTTTAGATTTTCCAAACGTTTTTAGATCGTTTTGTGAATTATGAATCATTCTTAAAAACTTTGCTTATTCCAGGGTCAAACAAAACAAAGCACGTTTGAATGAATATTCATAATAATTATAACTTATTAAAATCCGCCAAAATATTGCTTTTTAAGAAAAAACATCTGTTCTCCTTTTTCTTTAAAGAACTAATTTAAGTTGTGTTTTAGTTTTAGTTCTTCAATTTAAAACTTTCAATTTTAAAAACAATTACTTTTGAATCATACCATGTTTATCCTCACTTTCATATTTCCTTTTAAATCCATTAAACTATTAAATTTTTCTGTGAAAAAAAAATAAGGAAAAACTAATTTTATAATCTACATATCTTTAATTTTTTATTTACTGACTCATTCAAAATCTTTATATATATTATATTTTATTTATATTATACAATCTTAAAAAACATCAAATAGCTTAGAAGTATTTTTATATTATAATTAAAACTTCATTTTTGTTCCCTAGTTGGTAAGAACTTCTCAACGCTAATGTCTATTTAATATTAACTTGGAAAATAATTTATTATGAAATATTATTAATAGTTTACAATAAAAGTTTGTATTTATTTTTCTTAATCTTAATACGTGAAACTTGAAAGCAAATATATTTATTTGCAATCTCGGTTTCCGATTTGTAATTTCATCATTAAAGGGACTGTAAGGTGTTTTTCAAGTGACCCTCTATGCAAGCTTGCTAAGGTGTCAATTCCCGATTTCTAACGCTACCCTTGAAACCTTAATCTTATCAAAAATGTGAAAGATACCGTGGCTTTTATCTCTGAGTTTCCCCCTTGCACAAGTCAATGTCACAAAGAAACAGCAAATAAAAAATGTTAAAAGGAAAAAAACAAGCATATTTAAGATCAAACAAAGCTTTCAAGCTGTAAATCGAGAATTGTGAACTTTGCATGGAGGGTCACTTGAAATTATTTCTTTTCTTTTATATAATTTTTCAATGGTTAGGAGAGTTTGAACTTTGCCCACCTACCATCCGAGGGAGGTTCGGTCAGTTTAGATGTATCCCTGATAAACTCTGGTTCACGTCCTGTATCCATCTCAAGTATTGTATCCAACCCTGTATCCGAGGCACTCACCATAGAACTTCAGAACACAAAGGTAAAATGTTAGGTACTTTCCCAAAGGATTTTATCCCAAGTGGCAACTTTCTAACTCTGCAACTTCTCAAACGACAACTTCCCAAGTCTGTCCTAGACGCAGCACTCGGACCAAAGCCTGTCCTAGCCGCAGCACTCGGACCAAAGCCTGTTCTAGCCGCGGCGCTCTGACCCATAACCCATGTAATGCATTGTGTAATGGGTTTTTACCAAAAAAAAATTTAATTTTCCAAATATTTATTCCCAGTATAAATAAAATTTAAATTTAATCTGACTTGTATCAAGGCGAATTATGACTGTAGGTTGAATGTTAATAATAATAAGATTGTGTTATAATTTAAATGAACTTAAATTGTCTCTATATCTAGAATGTTCTCGCCTTTTTAGCTTTTGTTTTGAGCTTAAACTGCTTGACTTTTGTACCTTTTAAGTTACGCAAATGTGTAACGCCCTTGCAAAATATGAAATGGTTTTAACTTCATCATTAAAGTAAAAGATACATTTATAAACTAGTAGAACTTGAAAAGTTTGATTACTATAATTTTAAAACGAATCAGTTGATTTTTATCTTTCATTGATAAAAATATTTCCAGGTGGCATCATCAACAATAAAACCCACGGTAGTAGCCAGAGTAACTTTCGATTCGTCTCTGGCGACCTCTGAAGGATTTCAATCTGGAAAGTTGATCATTAAATCCAAGAACTCTCAACATCGCGTTATCCTACCCTGGATGGTGAATGTATTGAAGGGCAGCCTTCACTGGAACCAGACCATCTCTAAGTTCCTCGTAACAGATTCGCCAGACCCAGAAGATCCCTCTCAGGTAAACGAGGGCTGGAAAGCTAATCACAACAATTTTTCGCCCGAGCCTCCTTCTCCTCAATTTCTCACCCAAGCCACCTCCAAATATTCATCTTTGCGATCCTTACTGTACAGTGCTGAATTCTTGAGTTTTTAAACTTAATTTTAAGATTAATGTTTATAAAATAGATTAAGCTTGAATCGCTCAAATCTTCTCTTAATGGCTAATTACAAAATACAAAAATATTCGTTAGACATCTGCATTTTATGCTTTCTTATCGATTTACCAACATTCAATATTTTACTTATGTCCTGATGGATCAATTTAATAAGATAATATATCAATAACGTAGAATTGATGTTAAGGATTATTTTGCATTTTTTTTCTATCGTGTTTTTGCGCATTTTCTCATTAAACTATTTTTTAGGCGCCGTATCTGTCAACAACTCGACCGTTGATTGTAACAAACAAGTTCTCAGTTCCTTTGGTCGTTCACAGCATCTTTGCTCCACCAGAGGCAGAGAAAGCTTTCAAGATAGGAAACCTGAACCCAACGGTAAATATATTTGATACAAGTTTCCTGTTTTTATTCAGTTATTTAGTTATTCAGCCCACCCACATTTTTAGTTGATTAGTATTGTACAATAAACAAACATTCAATAAACATCATGTAATTTATTTTAATTTGATTTTATTTAAAATTATAAATTACAGGATTAGCAGTCCGGATTTTACTAGAATTCTCTGCGCTGAATATATTTACATTTTTTAAATGTGCATTTCCAATTTTCCAGGATTCAATATTTAATCTATTTTTTTGTTTGAAATAAATTCCTGATATTTTTTTCTATAGAGAATCAATAACATGTTATATTGTTATATTGTTCTGGTTTCGCTTAGATACCATTTTTGGTAATAAAAAGCGATTCTTAAACTTGATATTTTTCACTATATATGCTCGACATTTTTCACATGATCATCGTAACTGTTCTTGAAAATGTTAAAGGTTTAAGACTCTTAAACATAGTCTGGCAAACTGTTCCATGGGTTTATCACTCTCACAGAAAAAGTTTTTTCTCACGTTGAATTGCTTTACATTTAAATTGAAACTACTATTGGATTGTCTTGTCAGTCTATTCGCTGTCTCGCATGTTGTGCTGAACCAAAAAGATTCATTAACATTATCATATCCATGTAGAATTTTCCAGGTCTGTATTAAATCACCACGAAGTCGTCTGGCCTCTAGAGAGGTCAAACCAACCTCAATCAATCTTTCCTCATATGTTTCACCTGCCAGACCTGACGTCATTCTTAGAGCTCTGCGTTGCACATTCTCCAGTAGATTAATATCTTCTTGTGTCCATGGGGACCATGCTTGCACTGCATACTCAAGGTGGGGTCGAACATACACCTTGTACAATTTGATCCAAGTGAACCTGTCCCTGTAATGGAATGATCTTGACATTTGTCCCAGAACCTGGTTAGGCTTTCTAGCTGCAACTGCACATTGATCATGCAGTAACGCAAATTTGCCGTCGAGGTGCCAGTAGGGGGACAAGAGCTGAAGAGGAAAACTGTCAACTCGCTATAATAGTTTTTTTACAGGAAAGATTTAAAGATTTAAGATATCATGATAAAAAAATTCAGGTGATGCAGCCCGGGGAAACAGTTAAGTTGGTCAACTTAAGTGTTCGGAAGAAAGGTGTTCTGCTGGAGTCCCCCGGGGGGAAGGTGGAGGGGGAGCAGGAGATCAACATCAACACCTTCATCATCCTCCACACTAACGTCACCAACGTCAGGATTCCGCTTATGGCCTTCGACGGAAAACTGAAACCGGTAATTAAACTTTTTTTTTATGATTACTGTGCCTAGTCACAACATTTTTTAGTATTTAGCTTTTATATGATGTTGTTTTATTTATTTATTTTTCGATATTTTTAATTTAAAAATTATGCTGATGTTGGATAAAATACATTTAAAAAAAAACTATCTCGTTCAGGGATTAACACTAGCGATGTAATAATCTTAAAATCAAAACACAACCATAACTAGGAAAAAAAATAACGTATACAAATTTTTTTTTTTAAAAGTTATATGATAAAGCTGCGAAAGTCAATCTTGTCATAACCAAAGGAACATCAGCGAATATTCAAAATATTGCATGATCAAATGAAATTTATTTGACAGATTCAGTTGTATTTAGAAGTATATACGCAAGAGAAGGGGTCTGATCAAACTAATAGGCAAAAGAAACAAGAAAAAACACACTCGAGAAGAAATTCTGTGTCCGTACATTATTATGAATGTGGTTGAAATAATTTAATTTATCCCAATTTTTTTAGTTCTTTCCAAGTTCGCCTACGGAGAAGGTTCTAGACTTCGGAACTATCGGTATGAACGAGAAGAGGGACATGTACTTCACCCTTGTGAACAAGGGCCCCGTGAAGGTGGTGCTAAGGGGCTGGGGTGGGAATATAACCGGAAGTTTGATCGAACTTATGGGAGTGGATAGTGGGAATGAAACGGATATACTGTCAAGGAATAATCTGACGTCACTTCCTAGAAAGCTTTATGTACTTCCAGGACACTATGTTGTTTACAGGTATGAATGGATTGTTATTTAGTTTGTTAGTCGATTTATCAATTTTTTAACTTTTTATTGTTGCTCTTTTAGTTCAAAAAATCAGACACAGATAGTATTTAATCCATAGTTTGAAATCCATGAAACAAAAGAGTCGAGTAAGATCGCTAAAATAAAAATTTACAACAGATTTTGATAATCTATATAATAAAAGCTCTTCGCTCATATAACTGGCCAAACAGCTGGACCGAATTGGCTGAAATTTTTTTTATGGAACCCTTGAGTACCCCGGGAGTAACATAGACTTTAAAATTCGATTTTTTTGTTCACGGGCAAGGCCGGGCATTTCAGCTTGTTAGTCTTACTTTTCCCAAATTGGACCCTTTTTTATCAAAATATTTGTTTTTAGGATTGGTCTTCTGACAAATAATGTTGAAGGAGAAGTATGGGCAAGTGTATTTGTATCCACGGAGTTTCAGGATTTGCACGTGCCGTTCAGGTACATGGCAGAGTCAATCAGTACATTTATATTTAGTACTGTTCAGTACAGTGTACAGTTTGTGCTTAGTCCGTGGGCGGTCTGGGTCTCCCATATGGGGGGGGGGGGGGGGCTTTCATAATTCTTAAAGTGAGCATGTAGATTGTTGATCATTGGGTTCAAATTGTAAACACTTCTTACCTGAGGTTAAACTTCATATTTGTAAATTTTTGCTAGGTGAATATGCACTATACGAACATGTGCTAGGCCAAATATTACGATCTAACGTTAACAATTAAATACGATTAGGCTTTTTATTGTAATAATATATTTTTAATTTTATGAAACTGCCGTTCTGGTTTCTAAACTTTCTTTTTTAATGCATACAATATGTATATACATAATATATAACTTTAAAGCAATAATCAGAGCAGCTTCTATTTATTTAGAAAGCAAACCATGAAGTCGTTATTAAATGAGTTTCTGTAAATTTGAAAATTACGAATATACTTCAAACCAGGGCAAAAAATAAAGTGTGCAATTTATGCTGGTGGGAATTCGGGCTCCCGGAATACGCTCTTTTTTAGTCTTCAGGGTTTAATTAGGATTATTTTAATAACTTGGAAGGAATGAATTAATTAATTAATTGATTAATGATAATAAAACTATTAAGGTTTCGAGTAGCAAAGGGATCTCTGTCCACTTTACCTGATCAATTATCCTTCGGTTCAGCCTTTCCGGTGAGTTGTTCTTCCACACCTATATTTCATACATAGGGATGTGCATTCCGTTGTTTCGTTTTTTTTAACGTATTTTGTCGTAACTGTTTTTTTCAGGGTCCATATTTAATTAAGTGTAAGCAATTGTTTTCAAAAATGTTTTTTCTAACCATTTTCTTTTCTTACATTATGTCAAATTTTGACCCTGACAGAAAATAACGGCAAAAAATGAACTAAAATGACCCAAGAACGATTTATTAACGAACGTGTTAAAATAATCGTTTTTGAAACGGTTTTCAACGTTTTTTAGTTTAAAAAACATTACAAAGTTTATAAAAACCCAAACCTTAATACAAATTAGTTTTTAAAAGTTTTATTTAAATTGGTTTAAAAAGCCATCTAAAACGATTAATAACACTTTCCTATGGTTGAAACTAGAAAACAATCAAATTCTCGTCATCTTCATTTTTCTACGATTTAGGAAAATCCCTGCAAACTTTGTAATTTACAACTAAAATATTTTTATAAAATTGACAGTTTCAATAATTGCAAATTCTATTATCCTTAGCGACATTTCTCAAGTAAAAGAAAGAACAACGACTACATTCATTCCATAGTTTTGTGGTTCTCACTGTATACATTCATTATATAGTTTGTTGGTCATTTTGGGCAAGGATTCGGGACGGACAGGGTTTGTTTAAATTTTAATGTGACGAATGTGATGATTGGTTGTGCTTTAGAATACCTGGCCTTGTTGACAGTCTTTGTTATTGTTTACATTATTAATATTGACTAAACTGATCTCATACGTCACCGTAGAACATAAACAACTCCTTTCCCCCCCATACCTAAATATTACGGTTATTGGTCATTTAAAGGGTGTCCCACGAAACAAGACAGTTGGTGAATAGTTTAAGATGTCTTCTTCCTTACTTTGTTCAGTTGTCTGATACCAAAAATGATGATAAGAAATACTAAATGGCATTAATATTATAGTAAAATTTATTTCAAACAAATATATATTTGAGTAAAAGATTTGTTTAACGAAATAAACTGCAGAAAGTCTTAAATAACGAATACAGTATCATGGAAGAAGACATTAAAAACTATGCACCAACTGACATGTTTCGTGGGACACCCTGTATTTTTTTTTAAACTACACCAGGAACAGCATAAAATGGACTTTAATACTTCAATTGAATATTAAATCTTCATTCGTTAGGGGGGGGGGGGGGAATTTTATGATGAGGGTTAGGGGTCTGATTTGGGGGTAAATCATCCTGGTGAAAAGTAATCGAGAAAAACAAACATTTTTTTCATAAAATTTTCCCAAAATCCCGGAATTGATTCTAACAAGGGTTACTTATTTGTTAATTTATTAAATATAAATGATATATATTTTGTAATAAAAAAAAATAAGTTGCTGATTCAACGGGAATTTCAGGTTCAATTATGTCAGGGATATTCCTAGTTAATCGACAGCTTGACAGCTGATCATACAGCCTCGTCACAGCTGCACCTCTTTAGTTGTTTAACAGCTGTTGAAGTAAATGATTCATTGTTAACCAGTTCCATTCCTAGCCTTTTCCCCCCCCCCCCCCCCCCCCTGCTTTTTTATCATATTGAAACAAAAATATCGTGAATCAATTAAATTTATTTTAGGGACGGAAGGCTGAACTCTCCTTCTACGTTTATTCTTCCTTCAAGCACGAGATGACCGTAAAATCCTTATCTGTGGTTGGTGGTGACCCTCGGTTCAGTTTCCAGGTGAAGGAAGGAACCCGGATCAGTCCTGGCGAGAAGTCCTTGGTGGGCAAGGTTGTATTTAACCCATCTGTTGGATGTCGAGAGTTAGAGGACTGCTATGCAGGGTTCAACCATACTTCTAAGTTTGGGCATCCCTGGTATCTTGGTCTAGCTCTTCCTCTCAACCTATGGGAAATGGATCTTTCTATTGTGCACACCCTGTGGTCTAGAATGCGAGCGGCTGCCCTGACGAATGCCTCTAAATTCAATGTTACTCTTAGCTTGGATACAAGTGAGGTTCGTGGATTTCATTTCAGTGCCAGGGCAGCTCTTTCATGGCCAATTCTTTGCCTTGATCCTGTTCTAAAGTTTCCTTTAACTCAAATTGGAAATTCTAGCATGGATGAAATTTTGTTGTTCAATCCGTCTGAAGAAACCATCCTTGTTCACATAGTTCCCATGTCCTCATACCCTAACGTAATGAATATCCTGCCACATACTCCGAACCGTATAGAAGTTGGGATTGATGAGTTATCTATCCCGGATCCTGAGGATTCTACTACCTTCCAGATATTATCAGTTACAGATGCAGATGAACCATACACAGCCTTGGAAAAGTTTGGTGAAGACTTCTTGGAGAAGTTTGGTATTGGAGTAGCACCCAACACATATCCTATAGTCTTGGAGCCTGGACAGGGAGCTAAAATAACTGTTATGTTTACTCCAAAGGATACTTCCAAAGTGCATTCTAGTGTATTGTTCATACGGAACAATTTGACTGGTGTTGAGACTATAGATGTATATGGTCGAGGAGCTATAGGTGATTTTAAGTTTGGTAATAGAAGAGCAGGATCAACTATTCACGCTTTTGATGTTACGGAAAAACATTTGAAGGATTGTGATAAGGAACCAGTTTCTCATACCAACTCTCTGCCTAATCTGACCGTCAAGCGTCCATTTACAGCTCGTAATACAGGAGAGGTTCCCTTGTGGGTTACAGGGTTCGAGATAGATGGTTATCCTTGTGAAGGATATGGATTTAAGGTTCTGGATTGTGATCCATTTGAGTTGGCAGCGAATGACTCTAAACGGATCAACATTGCCTTCACTCCAGATTTTACCCTGGCTCGTATTACCCGAACCTTAACCATGAAAACATCTTTGAGCTCCATTCCGGGGAAAGGAGATGTTAACTACCAATTGGCTGCAACTGTACCTGCACATCTCTTGGCTATCTGTGCTAAATCACTGCCACGACCCAAGTGGGAAGGGTACCTATACGGGCTTTTGGTAACCCTGATGGTTCTTTCTCTGCTCTGTATTCTGGTGGCTGCTCTTGTGGAATCAGATAGAATACTAAGATACTGTTACATTATCTCAACCCACACAGCAAACCAGGTTCCAGAGAATGCCAAACTGCTTGATCTTCGCCAAGTAGCTAGGTTGACTCTGCAAGAGTGTGCTGAGCGTGAGCGCTCTGAATCCCCTAACCAAATGATCTCAACCCCTAGGAGTAGCAAGAAGGTAGAATGCTCTACTCCAGATCTGAAAAATACTCAACCTTTATCACCTGAACTGTCCAGATTATCTGGGTTTCTAAGTATTATTACCCAGTCCTTCCCAAGTATCAACAGAGCATTCTTCACTCAACAGTCAGCTACAGACTCAGCTGCTGTCTCATCTGAAGACACTGATGATAAAGAACTAGATACATCTAAGACCAACACACCAATAAGTAAGAAGAAGAAAGCAGCCCGAATACAACCAGATGCAGGTGTAACTAGTACTTCCAAGAAAAACAAGAAAGCAAAACTTATTGAGGTTGTGAAACCCAGGCCTAAAATCAGTCCTCAGAGTTCTGTTATTGATGATTTAGAAACCTCTAGCACTACAACTGAGAGCTCCAACCCTGAAGAACTGACAGAGCCAATTCTAAAAAATGCACCTAACATTAACTCTGAAACTCCTTCAGTTCAAGAATCAGGAAAGAAGAAGAAAGCTAAGAAAAATAAGATAGAAGACCAACAGACTGTAAAGGAAACCAAACCAAGCATTACTAAACCAAAGAAAGTTGTTGAAAAACGAGATTCTAAGATAGACAAGCAGGACAAGCCGAAGATAAGTCCCAAACCATCTCGAGAAACCTCAGTCAAGCCTGTTTCCCCTCCTCCAACCACCCCACCAGTAGTGAAGAAGCAGGAAGCAAAGGTCAAGGGAGTTCCCAAAGAAGGTGGAGATCTGAGACGTCAGCAGTCCCTTCCCTCTTATGATAAACCTCCTCGGCTACAGCAACCTAGGCATGAAAGTCACTCTGGATTTCCTCAACCACAGACGCAACCTCTGGAGGGTTTCCCAATCATCACTCTACCTAAAGCTGATCCTCCCAGAGCAATCATTTATCCAGAGGTCAAACGAGAAAACCCTGTCAACCAATTCGGAGCCATTGGCTGCAAGGTTCCAGTTAGCAGTACTTTGAGCTGGAATGATCAAGGACCTTCTCAGTTGGGACTGTCTCAGGTCCAGAGTTTAATGAACCCACCCTCAGCACGTGGATTATCCATGATGCAGGAGCTTCAGGCCGAGAGACGAAAGCGCGAGGAGGCGTTTCGTCGAAGTCAGTGGCCAGGGTTTGGACCTGAGCCTCAGGTTCCTGGAGCAAGGCGAGATTATCTGGAGAGTTTATGGGATCCTCCAGCTAATCCTAATCCTCATGGTATGTGGGGAACTCTGGGACAAAACGTGTGGCCGAGCACCGTTCTCCAAAACCCGTCCTGTGCCCAGGGTAAACCAGAGGATGTGGATCAGGAGAGGTTTGGATTGGACCCCCTGACGCTGTCTTCAATATGGAACGCGGCAAACAAGAAGGAACGCGATCAGAATACTTGGAGTTCTACACTCTTCAACAATAACAAGGATCTTTAAATTCATATCCTTATGAATTGATATTGCATGTGTAGTTTTCACATTTTTCGAATTTCCTTCTTGTCCGTGCTCCAGTAGTCGAAACTCTTCTGAAATTAAGATTGTCATCGTTTAAAGATCCTTCAAACGCCTCATTTTTTCCTTGAGAAAATCTTTAGGGAGGGTGAGTCAAAAAGGTGTGAATAGTGTCTTCTCCTTCCAAAATTTTAATTTTGTGAAACTTGTGAGCCATTAAAAAAGCCAGGAGCTTCTGACCATAGCTGAGTTGAATGAGATGTAAGGTTCGAACCGATCCTGTTCGTTTTTAGGACGTAACTCTATATTATTTAGTAATCGTTTTTAATCAATTCTCATAAATGGTATTTTTCTTGTTTGTTTGAAAAAAATTATTTATTTGTAACCCACATATGGCCAGAAAAAAATCCTTGAGCCTTCTTTTATCTAAATTAAAAAGGCAATTTATATTGTTATTATAGATTATTTCTATCAAATCTAAAAATGTCATAATATCGGGTTTAACGATTCGGAGATAATTTTATCTTTTTTGAAATTAATACAATTTATTGTTCAGTAATGAAGTATGATATTGCACAAAACGACACTAATTACACCTTTTTGGCTACCCCTGTATTATGTCTGGCTGCCTAAGAAGAAAAAGAAAAATATTGAAAACTTGTTAATTCTAAATTCTAGCCAAGTTTATAAAATTAGGTCAAATTGACGCGTTCCATAGTGGAACCATTAAGACTGTAGACTAGGAGATCAATATTTAAGCAATCTTTTGGGTAATTGATTTTATCATAGTGCAAATAGTTCAACCAATTACTTATTTTTATGCGAAAATTCAAAGATTTTAATATTTCCCTCTTTTTTTTCAAAATATCAAATTTAGATGTTCACGGCAAAAAGTTTGTTGATATTTTGCCCTACGGATCTGGATACGGCTACAGGAAGTTAAAATGGTGCGAATAAAACGGATCCTTAGATGTTCTTTGGACTATTTCAAATCTTTAAATGTCGTCTTCCTATTTCTTCGTGTTATGGGTTCCACTGTAGATTGATCGTTAAACGATGTCTCATCTCATTAATCTGTCTAGCTCCCAAACCTGTAGAGAGTTCAGGAGTAAATTATTGTATGTTAGATCTCATTAAATCTATATTGTCTGTTGTTAATCTATAATGCAAGTTGCAATATTGTAGGGATAAACTGAACTATCAGTTTGTTCCAGTATATCGTCATTAATGCTTTTTTTTAGTTCCCCTGTCGTAACCTGTACCCAGCAACATTTTTTTCAGATTTCCCCCCAAATTAATGATATTGTCATTAAAATGGTGGGAAACAACACATTTTTTTTAAACAGAAATACATTTCTTGTTCAGCAGGAAGATTTTGTTTTTTAATGTTTTGATTTCTTGTGTTTGTTTCATGTTTGTTATATTTATGGAGGTAATATACTACATCTTGATATTTAATACAATGTAACTTAATAATCAATTATTCTATTGATGTAAACAAAGTACTGACGAATTTCAATGATTTTAAAATACTAAAACAAATTTACTTCAAATATTCATTTTTATTATTAAAGAGTTTATAAATGTTATTTTCCAGATCTTCTAATAATTATAATTTCAAATACGAAAATAGTTATAAATGTCGTCTTTGATATTATTTTTCCAGGTAAAAATTATAGACCTCAATTTATGTTTTTCTTCAAATTTTCAAGAAAATTAGCTATTTTTGGAACTTTATGGAGTGGATCAATGTTATGGACTACTTGCCCCCCCCCCCCAAAATTACGTTTTGCCTTTTCTAAAGAACACTGTTAAGTGTTTAACATAACAAGAGTTTTCGTCTTTCTAAGGAAAGGTTTCAAAGAGAAGGGATGTGTCAAATTAAAAAAAAGATATATTTGGATTCAAGGGAAGAGGGCACAAACCAAATAGATTGTGAAGTACAATAGATATCAACAGAAAATTCGACCAACTGCGCACAACTTTGTAAGTAACAAATGTAAATAGAAAGACGACATATCCTCTAATTAGTTGATATGATTTCCAAGATTCAGCGTAGATAAATGTCTTCTTTGAAATGTCTTCCTAGTTAGAATACTTAAAAAATATTTACAACTGGCTTGATTCTCCTTTTTTTTCTCTGTATAGTGTATATCTATGTAAACTAAATAGTCTGAGTGGAGGGGAATGGCGTCAATGTGCCAACTCTCTAAGGAAGGAAGAAGCATTAAAATATATGTTTCTATGTGTATTATAGGTTTACTGTTCAATTTCTAAAGCCAGTTAATTCTAATTTTCTCAAACACACGCCGTCCTCTACTCATATAACATACAAATAAAAAAAATCAGTTGATTTCTGTTTTAAAAGTAATGAAGTTTTGGTGGGTTAAACAATGACTAAAGTATACACATTATGTCTTACACAACAACAACAAAAAATAATAAAAATACAAAAAATATTTTTAATAATTTATTAAGAAATAGATTAACCTTTTTGCTTCAAATTTCTTATGTTTTTAGTTTTATTAGTCTCGTCAATTTTCAAAGAATTGAGCCACACTTTCTTCTTTCCAGGGTGTTGACGGTATCCAGGCACGAAACAAGTTCTTCTAATCAATAAAAACCAAAAAATTTCATTTAATTCATAATAATGTATTGTTAACTTAGTACTTGTCCATATTATACCTTTAAAGTACACACCTTGATGGATTTTGAAATAAAAATATGTCGTTGTTTGTTCACACAGACACCCATATTTGCAAAATTCAAATATTCAAGTTGTCCCACGAAACATTTTGCAGATCCAAAATTTTGGCTTATTAAGAAACATCAAACCAACAGCTTACTTTAAAAAATGTACGAAAATTGTCAATTTTAGGTTATGTATGTAAAAAATCTAAATTTTGAAAAATACGGGAAATCGATTTTTTGGCTCATATACTCCATACTTAAAGAAGTAATTGTAATATAAACAGAATGCCTTGAAATATAGAGCTTTCTATCGTTACCATGATTGTGAAAATTTAAATAAAATTCTTGCCTCAGTAGTCCGTCAGTACCCAATACTCCTGCTGCAAATTTTCGTTTGGACCAAAGATAATATATATATAGATATGCAGGCAGGTAGAAACCTCCTTCCTAAATTGCTTGTAGCAGACAACTAATTTTTGTCCCTCTGAGATAAAGTGCAAGGAGAGACATCTATAGCAAATTGATTAATTTCTATTGTGGCGGCGTAGTGGCGGAAGACGAAGTTCTGGAGGAGTTTAAAACCGAATATCAAGACGCGGCAAGTTAGGAGTTTCCGGCCACGTCATCTATCTATCTTTTACTTTGATATAAATTTCAGTATTTTAAAGTAGTAATAAAGTAATTATTTAAACAGGTGTTTATTAACTTGAGCGTAGCTAAACTATATTCCTTTCTCTCCCTGCTGCCATCTGTAGGAAATACGCATTTGTGTTATATAAACATACGTACAGTACGCGTATTGCATCCTGTATAGTTCAAGTGTTGCTATCTGGACCTGTTTGACCAATAAAATTAAATTTCAAGGTAACACAAACATACAGTACGCGTTTTGATTATGTTATGCAGTCAGAGAGAAAAAGATTTAAATGTTTTAGACAAGGTGACCTTTGAAGACACCTTTTTCTAAAAATGTAGATGGCTTTTAGGCTCAAATTTTGATTTTTAACAGTCCAATGAACACAAAATACAGAAATTTTGCAGTGTAGTGGATTTTTTATATTTTAATCCTGAATTAACTTTTAAAAGCCATTGCCTTGGCAAATTTAAATATGCAAAAATATTTGCAGAATTTCTTCGCATAAGTTGTGAAATCGGCTTTCTTTTGTTAAAGGCTTTCCAAAGAGTTGTAAGAAGTCAAAATCCATAGATTTAGTCGGGTAAAGGTTAAGATAAGGCATTCAGGCAATATGCCTGAAGACTCAGACAGTAGGTATAAAATCCCCACTTTGAGCCAAAAGTGATGGGCATGTGTTAGTTAGAAAACTCAAAAAGTTTGAAGAGCCTCAGACCAATACTTTTATAGTCTCCAAAAATGTGCGGGGGGGGGTGGTAACCCAAACACCCCCCCCCCCCAGCCAGAATTGGGCTAACTTTATTGCATAATAACAAAGAAAAGATTAACAGTTCCTTCCTGCATTTGTTTGCAGAATTTTCTATGAATTTGGAAAGTTTAAAAAACAGAGGTTTAAATGGACTGTTTACTTATTTGGGTAATTTCATGGCAAATTTGAATTATTTAAAAAAATTAAACTAAGGCTATCAAAGGGGAAAATGGACTGGGGCTGGCTCATTTCTTTTTTATATACCAATCAAATTGAAGTTTTGAGCGCACCAAACCTAGGATGATCATTTTAGGAAAGTAATGGAGTTTTTTTGAGTTTTTGGGGTTAAGGGGGTGATGAGCCAGTTGTGAGCCATGAAGAGCCAGGAGCAACCGAACATAGTAGTGTTGAATGGGATGTATTGTTCGACCGGATCCTGTCCGCTATTAGGACTTTGTCCTAGATTCGATGTACTTTTTAGTCATAATTTTTATTTGAATTGCTTTAATTTACTTATGCCATTCAGTACAACTTGCACATTTAAACTTTGTCTAGTCAAATTCCTACCTCAGTTTTATTTGCATTGATTAATTTGTTTCATTAAGTACAATTCGTACAATATGCAGCATACATTGTTGATACTATAGTACGCATTTGGTGTTATCACGCATAAACGAAGTGATAAATTAGCAACAATCCAGAGGATAAAATGTCATGCGTACGACAGAGATGGTGCTGATGGCACTTTTTCTCAAGACCTCAAAATGTATACCTGCCTGCGTATCTTTATATATATTACCTTTGGTTTGGACACCTTGTATATAATATATATCAACATCTATATCTTATCTATATTTCTTATGTGTTTCCAAAAATTGTAAAATACGACATTTGTGGAAAAAAATTATAGATCCTTAGAAGACGACATTTCATTAGAAAATTAACTTTTCTTGTTGCCTGTATTTTCCCCATATCTGGGGGTTTATCCTCGATTAGACCTTTCCAGAGCACTACCCCGAATATACCTTTAAACATGTCTGAAATATGTTTTAACGTTATACTTTCCAATTAATGTTAATGGGCAATGGACAAAATCAGTTTCAACCCTCTTATTTAGTCAATAGAACGTTAAATGATGAAGTGTAAAAACAGAAAAAAAATTAATATATAAAATTGCACTGATTTCACTAAAAGATTAGCACTTTAGTCTTACATTATCACTTTTATTTATAGTTTTTTCAGACACAGAATTTGAGTTGACACTTCTGACGTAAATACAGCTGTGCTGAAAGTGTACGCATTGGAATTTTTTTTAATTTCTTCCGTTTCAAGTAAAAATTGCATGAATATTCAATATAATTTCTCATTAATACGCAAAAGTTATTTCGATCAAATTCTAAAGAAAATCGTGGTTTTTGTGTATTTAGTTGTTTAATGCCATTTCGTTATTTTGACATATTTCGTTAAATTTTTTAAAATATTTTTTTGCTTGTTTTTGTGTGTATTAAAGTTATACTTCCAACAGCTTTAAAATGAATGATATGAATTAATCAATTTAATGTGCAGGCGAAGCGCATAAGAAAATTTCTGTTCCTTTGGGTTCTAGTGTCTTATTTTACCCATTTTAATGTTATATTTTATGTGTTTCTTAGCGTCAGTTAGTTAGTTCCTGACTTAATCATATTCACTATGTATAATAAGTCCAGGGGCGTAAATAAGGATTCTGTAGGGGGGTGGGGTAAATTTTTTGTTATGTGGCGCGCGAAGCGCGCTGAATTTTTTTTTCCCCCCCGTAGAAAAATATCATGATGTATATCAAATTATTGGTTTTATTTGGGTTTTCCATCATTTCTGGCATTTACAAACTCCATCAGCTTCACCTTGTTTTACATCCTTTGTTTTTTTTGGAAGGGAACTGAAACTTGTAGAGGCAGTAAGTGGAGTAATCCCTGTCATTCAGGGCCTGAATTTTTCAGGGGTGATTACCTACAAGATTCTAAGGGGGGGGTAATTACCCCAGGATTCTAGGGGGGGAAAATAACCCCGATAACCCCCCTTATTTACGCCACTAAATAAGTCCCCTATTAAAGTCAACAGTTTTTTTATATTATTCAATATTCATCCACTAGCCCTTCTTGTCCATTATATTTATTATGTTTATTGCTAGTTTGTGTAGTCTGCAGTAAGTAGTTCCTGCAAGTACTTTGTGACTTTCGTCTGTCCTCATTCCGTATTCCATATAAAGTCTTTCTGTAGTCCCTCTACCCTTGTTTTCCAGCAAGGGCCGGGGCTATACTT